CTTTGTAACCACTTTCCCGAATTTTTAGAAACCGGAAGCAAATATTTCAGCTGATTTCTTGAGATTGGAAAACTGGACATTTGGATGAAAATTACAACAAGATAGCACAAAGCATGACATTATCCCTCGCGGCCCGCTGTTTAAAAGAAAGACACACAACCATATGTTTATATCACAACAAGTTTAATTTCTATTTGGTATTTGTAATTGTTCCATACAAAGTATTGAATTCGAGAACTTCTACTAGAGTATTAGCTTGATGCCTGTACAAAGTTTTGAGTAACGGGCAACTACCTTGAATGGTTTAGGAGAACAAAACTTTGTGATTTGGCATATCCCTTTCTATGGTATCAGAAAAAAAGTATTTAAATGAAGAACTTCCCGTCAGCAAAAAAAACTAACTAGCCTAATAAGCGTAAAAAGATTTGAGCAGATACCTTGAGTGGTTTCAAAGTACTGGTCCCGGAAAAAACTTGAATTTGTGATGAGGGTTATATGTTCCCAAGGTAACAGAAAAAAATAAACTGAGTCACCAACCTTATATATACAGAACGTTTTGCAAAAAAATAGCAAAATGCACAACTAGGGCACTAATCTGATATATAAAGAAGATTAGTGGAAAGGTTTTGAAGTAATGTCCCGGTAAAAACCCCTCAGGCGGATGGACGGACGCACACACGGACAGACGGAGCTTTTAACATACTTTCTAAAATTGAATCTTTCAAAAACATTGCCAGAAAAAAGTTCAATTTTGGGATTTTTTGACTTCTGCTTAAAAGTTGTCAACTGCAAAAATAGTTTTCATTCTTATTTTAAAAAGAAAAGAAAGCGTCGATGTTTTTAAGCGCAAAATATTTCAAATTTAAATATATTACACTGATATAAATTATATGTTTTAAACTCAAACTTTGATTTTATACACACACAACGAATGTTGGTAACATGAGATATGGCTCCCTCCGAAAAAAATATAACGAGAGTTGTGTTACACGAGATATGGCTCTCTTAGTAAGATATAACGAGAGCTGGGCAATATGAGATATATCTCTCCGGGGAAGATATAACGAGAACTGGGGTATATGTGATATATCTCTTCGGGGAAGATATAACGAGAACTGTGGGTATATGTGATATATCTCTCCGGGGAAGATATAACGAGAACTGGGGTATATGTGATATATCTCTCCGGGGAAGATATAACGAGAACTGTGGAATATGTGATATATCTCTTCGGGGAAGATATAACGAGAACTGGGGAATATGTGATATATCTCTCCGGGGAAGATATAACGAGAAATGGGGAATATGTGATATATCTCTCCGGGGAAGATATAACGAGAAATGGGGAATATGTGATATATCTCTCCTGGGAAGATATAACGAGAAATGGGGAATATGTGATATCTCTCTCCGGGGATGATATAACGAGAACTGGGCAATATGAGATATGTCTCTCCGGGGAAGATATAACGAGAACTGGGGAATATGAGATATATCTCTCCGGGGAAGATATAACGAGAACTGGGGTATATAAGATATATCTCTCCGGGGAAGATATAACGAGAACTGGGGAATATGAGATATATCTCTCCGGGGAAGCTATAACGAGAACTGGGGAATATGAGATATGTCTCTCCGGGGAAGCTATAACGAGAACTGGGGAATATGAGATATGTCTCTCCGCGGAAGACACAACGAGAACTGGGCAATATGAGATATGAATTTTCGGGGAAGATATAACGAGAACTGGGCAATATGAAATATGTCTCTCCGGGGAAGATATAACGAGAACTGGGGAATATGAGATATATCTCTCCGGGGAAGATATAACGAGAACTGGGGAATATGTGATATGAATTTTCGGGGAAGATATGACATGACTAGAATTATTTAGCGTTTATCTCTTTATTTCTTTTATATATTAATTTTGGTATGTAATGCAGAATGACCTGCTTTAATTAGCACTTATTGATTGTTGCGTCCTATGTTCGTGACGGTAACATCATAAAAAAATTGTGAGAAACGACGCCATTTTCTTACTCATATTAATTATTTAGCAATACAAAGCAGTTCACAAGAGGAGATCATTTTGCATTACGAAAAGACGGAATGTCAGTCCCAATACTGAAATGATATTCCTCCCTATGTTTCATTTTGTAAGAAGTATCCGCATAGAAAATACGTCTGTTGTGACAAGTTTGTCAACTTTATGCTTTATGTTTCAGTGATGATATTGTCATAGATACCAATCATTTACATACCTCTTGTACCAGATTTGTCCGAACTTGATGTAACACACGTATCATTTCGACAAGTCACAGTTGCCCAGATACCATAGTAAGTGACGTCATTGGTTCCTTTGTCATCCGGGTCGTTGATATACCACCATGCCGGAAACACAAGTCCCAAAATATGAAGACATGTTCCCACTACTCCCAACAACAGAAGTATCAAGTCCACGACTCTCACGCGTCGCGATGTTTCCAGAGAGAGACTCTTGGAATCTTTAGTCTCGGTCATTGCGTCACTTCCGACAAGAGTGAGGGTGATATCGATTTGTCGTCTTCCAGGGTATCCAAATCGCAGTCGATAGCGTTTATACAGAAACAACACTCAAACGGACACTATTAAGGTCACAAGTCGAAGACTTCACATTCAGACAAAGATTTCCGTATAATTTTTCAAAAGGTTTTAAATATTGATATAAACACAAAGCAAGTTAAACAAAACACATGTAGACGTGAGTATATAATCTAGTAACCCAGATAGCAGATTTCTTCAGCAAAATATGATGACATGCCACAACGGATGAATGTTTTCCCTGTAATTTCACCAATATTCGACGATAACATCTGGTCCGCAGTTTAAATTTGGTTTCTGTTCAACGCCACTATTACCAGTTGATCCTGTAGCTGGTCTTTCGGCGAAACCAACCCTCTCAACATGGCGTCAGCTGTTATCTATGAAGGTAATATATATATGTTTGTATATTTGAGTCATAAATAGTCTCATAGACTCTGGAGGTCTTTTGCGAAGACATGAAGAGAGCAGACTTCAAAAGTCAAATTGAAAATTTGAAAAGATATATTACTTAAATTCTCCAAATGTGTTGAAGAGGTTATTCGCATAACACACGGCGAAGGCGGGCTGTCATGTTAACTGATAACATCAAAGACTGCCGCTTGTGTCAAGGGTCAGGTTTATATTGTCACAAATTCTCTTCAACGCAATGTCTCGAGTTTATGGCGGGTTGAAGTGGCAAGTCTGAATAAATACTTGAATCATGGGTTAGGCAGATATGACGTATGAGTTATGAGAGAAAAGGGAGAGAATGAGGATATGACATTGTAAACAAATCCCGGGGAAACGAGACTTAGTATCAATTCATAAGTAAACTGTAGATAAACGTTGCACAGAATGACATTGAACTGAGTCATAAGGGTGAAGTGATTTGTCCATGGTCACAACCGTATCAGCAAAGAACAGTCCGATTCTCGGCTTTCTGAGAACCATGAACTGTAACCTGTAGGGACTGTCAAGCCAAAAACCCAACCCAAAACCAAAAAATGAAAAAGCAGTCAATCGTGTACTCCTCTTAAAAGCCGTCGAAATATAAAAAAAAGTTGTGTATTGAGACTTAGAAGTTATTGTCATTATGGTAAGTTTATGTTTTTAGTAAGAGAGTATATAACTTTCACTTCTGATGTGTCATTTAATATCGTGATGTTTATCGAAATTAAAGAATTGTTTAATAACTAAATCAACACGACATTGATATCAATGGAAGATTAATCAGTTTCAGTAATTAATGAAATAATCAACATATATATTGTTAACAACATGAATTATATATCAAATGCGTAGGAAACTTTGGACTTGATTTCAATTAAACGACATTGATTGGCAAATTCAATGTACCAATATCATCATATATCGTGTTTTATTGGAGATATTTTTGAGAAATTAAACGAACAGTTTCATTTACCAAGTTAATGAAATGAAATCCTGACACGCTATCAATATCAGATGTATTTTATAAAACAAACGATGTGTAATCATTTAGATGGAAACGACATTTACAAATACATATATGTTATAATTTTATACAATTACAGACTTTTGGTGAGGTAGATCTATGGTTTTATCAACACAAAAAAAAAATTGTAAGACTTGGTCGGTATAATCATGTATTGAATTAAACAAAAGACTGTAGATTCATTTAATGTTTTTTCTCCGTATAAAATGGCTAATGTAACAAATGGAACCATCATCTGAATCCGGAAAACTTTGACAGTTGTTGTGGTGCTCTTCTAGCGATGGTTAAACTCCACACTATTAAATAATATAATTGTGTTCAGGTCGTTTCACTGTTGATCTGAAGTGTAAACGTCGCGGTACGCTTGTCAGTAGGAATCAATTTATTTTCATAAAGACCTAACCTATAAGCCCTTTACCAGATTGGTTCTGTACGGGTTAGAGACTGACATAATTTTGTTTCAGACAGAATTAGGAAGTGTTAAAAACAAACTTTAATGATAAATTAATACACTGTACTAATATCTCACTTGGCAAACATGATATTAAGCTTAGATAATCCAGTACGTTGCGTTACAGGGAAACGTTTTTCAGTCCACAATCGGTCCAATGACGGTGTTTCTATCACAGGGCACGATGCTTGTCATTTTCAGAGATCTCACAATCCAAACATTTTGTACAGAGCACGAGGCTCGTATTGGGAAAGCAAAACCAACATATCATAACAAAATGTTGATCATGCGATGCAAGTGTACAAAGGACGAGGAGTTGTATTGTATGTACAATGCGACTAGACGACTAGAGGCTGTGACACTATTTACACTAGGAAAGGCTGACCTTATCACCAACTGGGAAAGGAGGATTACTGCCCTCTCGGAAACAAGGGTTGGTACATTATCTCCAGAAGACAACATAATCAGTTAACATACCATACAGCGTAGGCATAAATTCTAACAAATGCCGAATTGGTTTCATTTTGTATTTTATTTGCCACAGAACGTTTTAACAAAGTTTCCCGGCTAACAGTATTTGTACACGTGTATCTATCCCTTTTTTGACATACGTTACATTTGATGAAAAAAGGGAAAGATGGCATCCGCGTGCCGGTAATTAACGTCGTATATTCATAGACACGAGAGCTATATCTCCTGTAACCTTCTTACTAGAGTTACTGCCCTTGTGTTCCGGTGCATTGTCCATCTTGAAAAGAGTTATAATAGCGGTGATCATGCTGGCAATGCCCGAGAAGATTATAAAGAAGATGACGACGGGGTTGTAGCACAATACCGAGCTATTCGGTATCAGGACTGTTGTCCGCACTGTGTCCCATGCATCTGAGATGACGTGAAACTCCCCTATCAGTACCATCGCCATCAGAAACGTAACACATCCTTTGAAATAAAACACAACAAAATATAAAATGATGTCGAAACTTGTTTACAGTTTCTGAGTTTCGTCATCGACAATATCGCAGCAGATACGTATTACGTTATAACAACATACATTTATTTTACTGGGGCAGTTAACGTGTCGAATTTTTGAATAAACAAAAAAACACTTTTTCAAGAGATTTATGAATGCCCCTGCTCCTATTAATGAACTGTTTAAGAAAAAGTACTAATGGATGGATTATGTCCCATTTCATACCGTTTCTTGATGTTTTCAACAAAAAGAACTAGGCTCGTTTGGTATCACAATTGAAAAGCTAACATGTTGAATTGACACTTCCGGGTTCCATCCACCAAAACTCAAGTGTATGAAAGTGGTAATCTTAAATGTAGGCATTTTGTCGCCTTAAACATTGCATTGGATTGTGACTAAGACGACATATATGCATTAGTCTGTTGAAAAAGGTGTCAAATGGGCATATGCAACATTTTTGCAATAAAAGTATTTGATAATAACTTTATACATCATTTCGTTTTCAGGAGACTCGATACTTTAACCAATGGCCCAAGAATGTAACTCGTCATACTGTATGACTCGTAGTACATACCGTTGAAGATAGAAAAGACTCCGGTGATATAGTTACATAATGTGTTCCGTTTCCATAGATACAGAACAGTACTAAGTAGGGAGCTGATTGTCAGGAACAGGCTGAAGACTCCAGCGAAGCGAGTAAACGTCAAAAATCCTTGCAAAAATGAAAGAAAACAACGAAATGTTGTACGTAAAATCTTTTAAGTTTTAACATAAAACAAGTGTAAATTATAACTTCGACAAGATCCACAGTGTTTCCAGATTTTTTCATCGTTAAACTCTAACACATCTTGTTAAAATATAACTGCATTTCAAATAAGTTCTCAAACACTATCTAGAGACACGCTTTCTTAACTAAGACTATATTTCCATTCTTGCGATAGACACCAACATGTGATCAGTTTCCTACGCTAAAACATAAGGCTATGAGAAAAATAAAACGAAAACCTACCAGCACTTTCCCCGCTAGTCCGCTGACATATCCCATTGGTGCACTGGACACGTTCCCAAAGGCCGTATGTCTGCAGATTTTCATTGTGGCCGCTTGACCACCAGAATTTCAAGAAAAGTCCGAAGATTATAAACAAAGAAGCAAAGAATTCCACAGATAGCACTACCTTGTGTTTTATATAATCAAGCTTCATCATGATTTTGAGGGTAAAGGTCGATGCTCTGCCAAGCCTTTTTCGTTGTCATATACAGAAAATCCTTACCGTTGATTTGTAACTATGAAGCAGTTATAACATAATCGCATTTACGAACCAGCAAACTAATATACACTGTACTTCCTTACATGAAATCCGTAGATAACTTCACTGACAGTCACCGAAAGCGAGTGTGGACTTCCGGTATGTGTGTACATATACTTCCGGTTAGAACATAGGTTTGTATAGATATACTTAGGAAAAGTGGTTTATGTTAAGTATGTATAAACATACACAATACCACAGTTTGATGTGTACACGATATGTTCTGTATATTTATAAATTATTGTAACATGAAGAGAAGTTGCAGGGAGGTTTCAGCTAACAAAGCGCTTAGACTAGAAAACACAGTTAAATGCAATTTAATCTCCCTCTACTTAGCAACATACTGAAATTAACCAAAATTTACATCAAATTTAATTAAGGTTATGCATGTTGATGAAGAGAATATGATCCCTGCAGTAGACGTGCCAGATAAAACAATAAACCTTGTCGAAATTTAAGGTCATGGTTCATGACTATAGCTAAAATTTATTTGTGATAGCAGTAATTGAAATCACTTTACCGACGCCATCGCTGGTAACATCAGGGTCAAGTCTCAAGCATTGTTACAAGTAAGAGAACATGTGGGATCGATACCTTAAATCTAACTTCAAAGGATACGCAAATATAAGCATAAAGATGTATTTTTTTATTTATCTACAGCATTTCTTTTAAATTTTTTTTGGTGAAATTCAAATATTTCAAATCTGACTCTACTGTATATACAATGAAATGTCAGGTGAGATGACGTCATCGTCTTGCAAGGATGTCAGCTGGAAGATACCACGGCCGGACGGGGGTCGGTGAACCAAAGTACACCTGTAAAATAGAAAGGACAAAAAGTTCTTGATACATCGGAATATAATACAATAGAATCTTTGTTTTGGAACTGGTGTTGTTTTTTCACGTTAATGATACTGCGAATGACATCACGACGGCGTTTACAGATATTGGTGTCTTAGATGGACACAATTTTATGTTGTCAAAATAAAATGACATAACCTGGACACTATGGATTGACACTGTACTCGGTCACATTATACATGGCTAGCCAGTCCTTGTGAAACTCATTCAATAATTTGTGACAAAAGGACCATATCAATGGTTAAAGTTTAAGACATGTAAAAAAAAAACTGACTTTTTGGAAACTGAAGCAAATATAAATATCTTTGGCGAAGACGTGTGTTGTGATCATGCTATACAAGCCACGGGCACAATTCTACATCCCACCTGGGTGACAATTTAGGTAATGTATCGGAAAAGCGAATTTGTTGACGTATACAATATAGATTCGTTGCTGGGCCATTACCTTAAAAACATTGGACGAAAACAAAACTATTGTCCGCCCAATAACTACGTAATTTACAACAACGAAAACATGGGTAACAAATTCACAATCAGCGACTCGTTGTGCATGGTCTGAAAACGGTATCACAGAGCGTATGGATCTGATATAGGAATGACATCACAGAGCGTATGGATCTGATATAGGGATGACATCACAGAGCGTATTTATCTGATATAGGAATGACGTCACAGAGCGTATTTATCTGATATAGGAATGACATCACAGAGAGTATGGATCTGATACAGGAATGACATCACAGAGCGTATTTATCTGATATAGGAATGACATCAAAGAGCGTATGGATCTGATATCGGAATGACGTCACAGAGCGTATGGATCTGATATAGGAATGACATCACAGAGCGTATGGATCTGATATCGGAATGACGTCACAGAGCGTATGGATCTGAAATAGGAATGACATCAAAGAGCGTATTTATCTGATATAGGAATGACATCACAGAGCGTATGGATCTGATATAGGAATGACATCACAGAGCGTATGGATCTGATACAGGAATGACATCACAGAGCGTATGGATCTGAAATAGGAATGACATAACAGAGCGTATGGATCTGATACAGGAATGACACCACAGAGCGTATGGATCTGATATAGGAATGACATCACTGAGCGTATGGCTCTGATATAGGAATGACGTCACAGAGCGTATGGATCTGATATAGGAATGACATCACAGAGCGTATGGATCTGTTATAGGAATGACATCACAGAGCGTATGGATCTGATATAGGAATGACATCACAGAGCGTATGGCTCTGATATAGGAATGACGTCACAGAGCGTATGGATCTGATGTAGGAATGACATCACAGAGAGTATGGATCTGATACAGGAATGACATCACAGAGCGTATGGATCTGATATAGGAATGACATCACAGAGCGTATGGCTCTGATATAGGAATGACGTCACAGAGCGTATGGATCTGATATAGGAATGACATCACAGAGCGTATGGATCTGATACAGGAATGACATCACAGAGCGTATTTATCTGATATAGGAATGACATCACAGAGAGTATTTATCTGATATAGGAATGCCATAAAAAATGTAACGGTCTGAAACTTGTCTGAATTAACAAGGAGTATGGGTTTGGTATGATAATGACATCACAAAGGATATGGGTTTGGTATGAGAATGACATCACAAAGGATATGGGTTTGGTATGATAATGACATCACAAAGGATATGGGTTTGGTATGAGAATGACATCACAAAGGATATGGGTTTGGTATGATAATGACATCACAAAGGATATGGGTTTGATATGATAATGACATCACAAAGTGTATGGGTTTGGTATGAGAATGACATCACAAAGTGTATGGGTTTGGTATGAGAATGACATCACAAAGGTTATGAGTTTGATATGAGAATGACATCACAAAGGATATGAGTTTGGTATGAGGATGACATCACAAGGGGTATGAGTCTGATATGAGAATGACATCACAAGGGGTATGAGTCTGATATAAGAAGGATGAAAGTCTTAAAAAGTTGGAACACCTCAGTACATACCGGGCCATTTTGAGGACAGGACGACGGGACGTCGAAGGCTGAAGACGGTACGGTACCTCCAGTAATATTCTCGTAAACTCCAAACGACAACAAATAATCTAAAACACCGAGTACAAACCACTTGTAAGTAAACATTACGTTAGAGTGATGACGTAAACTACACAAGCCTTTGTAACTGTTGGTAAGTTCCACTAGGTGACTTTTTGTCCTACATATTTTCTCTTCCTCGCTTATTAACATATCTACGTTACGATCTATATATACAGGAAATTTTGTTATTTTCGGGTTCCATGTTACGTTCCTCTCGAAGATGGAACAAAATCACAATAACAAAAAGTAACAAAATTATTAATACATACTCAGAAAACAGAAATGAAGGAAGAAATTATGGACTACTTCATAACTTCCGTGGTACATACATCTATCGAAATAATAACGACAAACAATTGTAATATCATTCTAGAGTCTCCGGAGGATGAGAAAACTGTATGCTGCAGTTTTACACAACATCAGAATAATTTATCGTTATGTCACTCTTTTTTATGATACTGCCCATTTTGCCTTTTGTACAATCATTTGCTTAACATAGAAGGAAATAGATATATCATAAATATGGTAGGTATTTGCAAAGTCTAACCACAAAATTTCCAAACATATTCACAAGTAATTCTGTCATCGTACACTTTATCAATGAAGTAACATATCAGTGTGAAACGACGATGCCGTACTGGTGCTAGTATCATACATTGTATACTGTAAATCACTTTGATTTCGCGAATATTTTATTTTGCGGACTTACCCTCTTCGGACATATTCGCGAGTACACGGTTTCGCGAACACTGATCTAGAAATTACCTGGACTCTGAGAGACTCCGATATCGCTGACCCAGACAAGAGTTACTTTTGTACAAATAATTGGGAGGGATTTGACTTCACGATTGACTTGCTTATTAACGCGAAAATAAACACCACGCGAAATATAAGTGATTTACAGTAAACCGTAAGAAGTACTCTCCAGAAATCATGAGGCTACTTGTCAAAATTTTCGATGAAAATTCTGTTATCTTTCTTTGGGAAATTCATTCTTCATTATCCATTTTTTGTGGTCTGACAAAGTCCCATGCAGAATTGGTAGAGTAACCTTAACCATTACGCCTAAAGTGATATACAGTGTATAGGTACCTGGACCGCTGAGAATACTTAAAGATGTTTCCATCACCAGAAGACATTCGTCTCGGGATACAGTTGACCGGATGTTGCCGCCATCATTTGACTCCTTGTACCAAACGTGGACAGGCAGCTTGTAGATCATGTGATCTCCGAATGAAGAGGCGCCATCTGTAGGAATGATATCTAAATTTTTATTTTAAAACAGCAACATTCTATCATATGTATTGAAATAAATTCAAAGTATATTCTAAATGTAATTTTAATCTATGTAAGTGACGTGGCAGTTTCCGTGAGACGACAAGTTTGTTTCCGAGAAGACTTTTCGGCAGCGCATCTTATACAACATTTTGGGCAATATAAATCAAGTATCAAGTTATATTATGTATTAAGTTATATTATGTATCAAGTTATATTATGTATTAAGTAATATTATGTATTAAATTATATTATGTATCAAGTAATATTATGTATTAAGTTATTAAGTTATACCATGTATTAAGCTTTATTATGTATCAAGTTATATTATGTATTAAGTTATATTATGTATCAAGTAATATTATGTATTAAGTTATTGAGGTATACTATGTATTAAGTTATATTAAGTATAAAGTTAAATTATGTTGATTTTATGATAATCAGTAAAACATTAATATCAGTACAGACGTCAACTTCAGTTCTACTCTATGATAAGGAGCCTATACGATCTGTCTCTAAATAGGTTGTAAGAAGGCGAAAAGACTGAAAAGATAGCTCTACATGTGATAGCGTGTACAGAAGTACAACAGTAGATTTTGTAATACAAATGTTTTCAAATAGATATAACACTTTGATTTATCCTAAATATTACGCTAGTGACGAGCTCTTGAATGCGACCAAAGCCAGTCATAAATTCTCCAGCCTCTTGTAACGTCACATAATGTTTGTTCAATGTTTTCTGTACTGATTTGCCACGGATCTTCACTTGCAGAAATTATTTCTATCACAATAAAAAAACTATTAAACATGTATTTGACATCTTAGTGTAGAACAATAAAAAACAGGTAAAACTCGCCCAGGAAGCACGGAGAGGGCATGGACTCTGTAACCTTGTGACGTGTACAGACCTTCCCGATGATCCTCCATTCTAGACCCTGAAATTACAAATAGAAAACAGCAATAACGTTGTGTAATTCAAACTTTGGGCTCACGCGACCTATCTGTGAACGTCTGTTCCATTGTCTTACAGGCAGGGAGTAGTAATTGCTGTCCCTATCTCTATAGTCGTTACAATGGACAAAACTCGAGGTCATCATTTCTTACTAGTGTCTCTCTTGACTTTGCTCATCACCTTAAATCTAGGACGTAATAGTTATACATTCTGTCCATATTTTTTCCGTAATCGTTGATAAGAAAAAACAAAATTTGAGATCTTTATATACATGATATATACTTTCTAAACCGCAGGACCGCGCCTCTACCCTGTAGTGTATATATCCGCCTTTATAGTTTGATATCTTTTTACCTGTGTTTAGCTTCCTCGGATATCAGTTATTTACTTTCCTGTAATCAAGTTGTTAATATCCAAGTTAACAACTAATCGTCACTCTAATAGAGTCCAGCAGTCAGTATAATGTGGGGTGTAAAGTTTCAGTGTACATATTATGACATTTCAGTGAGATGACACTTGATGCGTCTCGATTGTCAGTATAAAGTGAACGTGTGGGTTGTCGTACTACAGTTAATTGGTTATGACATTCAGTATGGTAACACTATAATAGTGTCCATGTAATAAGTACAATATGACCGGGTCGGTGATAACCTACTTTGTCCGTGTTATGACATTTCAGTGTAATAGCACTATAAAAGTGTTCCTGTAGTCAGTATATTGTGAATTATTGGGGTTCCATGCTTCAGTGACCAGGTTATGACGTTTCAATGGGATGGCACTTTAAAGCTTCTGGTGATGTCCTCATCACTGGATAAAATTACGTCAAACTCCTTACTAACTTTCTAAACTACACTTATCCGTTTTGACCTGTGCAAACTTTTGTTTTTTTCATTTTGCATAATATCACGTTTTGTTGATCAACATTGTAAAGCTAAGGGGAAGGGTTGGGTCGCTATAACATTCCCTAGTCAGAAACACCATCAGTTTTGAATAATATTTAAGATCAGTCTTCATCATCATTGAAATGTAATTAAGATTTATCATTCTGGAAAGATGTACTTGGCACCTCACACTTATTGTACATGATTACATTTGTTATATTTGTAGATATTGACATGAAAATAGTTCCGAATAAAATGCAACCGGAAATTCTTACCTTGCTATAATTTACGATACGATAAACAGATGATCGGTTTCCGGAAGTCTGGTTGAACACATCATGCATGGTAGCCAGTCTCCTGCCTGGATGGTCGTAATAGATAAACGTGCTGACGTCAGATTTGGATGACGTATCCACGGCTCTGTTGTACTCGCCAATATTCTGTAGGAGATGCCCAGTCCATTTTTCGGGCGAGCAGCAAGGATTTTCTCCAAGTATTCCAGAAAACAAAATGGCCCCAGAAATGAGGACAGTCCAAATGTCCATATTGAACTCTATGTGTTTCGGTATATGGATTTAAGTGTTATCGTCCCTCCACTTTATCTGGTACATAGAGTTTGTACAGTTGATAAATCGTTATCTTCCTGACCTCCACCTTCTATGTCGGATGCGTATAGTAAAAATCCATACATTTGCGGAGTATGTTCTAATTTTTTAAGGAATCGAAGTAAAATTAACGATTCAAGAAATTATAATATACATTTTATAATTAATCGATTGATGCATTCATAAACAACAGTTTTGTGCATATCCTATTTCATAATAAGAGGTCCATAAGGCCTGCATCAGTATGTTGAATGCTTATCGTTGTTCAAAGTTTTAAATTGTCACTAAAGTTTTCTGCCTCTGAGAGCCTTACGTAGTCCATGAAGACCTATTTTTGATAGATGCTGGAGGTCGCCTCTTGTCAAATAACGCTGATGCGAACTAAGAACGATGTTATAAAATGTTTTCGCTTTTAAGACCCCGTCTCTGTAGCCAAAGGACTTTTAGGGCCTCAAAGAAAGTTCCTAGCCCCCTTTTTAAAGATTCTAACATATTGCCCTGTCTGTCTCTAAAGGGCGAAAATCTCTAACACTACATACATGTGTTCCTTCTAAATATGAACGCCCCTGTGGCCTTATTTTTCAACTATTTATACTTGACTTTCCTATGACCGTTTTCACGTCTTTGTTCCGGGACGGGAGGGATTAGATCTTTAGTTAATGAAAAGTTGAGCCGTCTCCAGCCAGTGATACTTCAGACGAAGCCGGTATTGAAAGCGGTCTGGTTGACAGATAAAACAACGTAATGACACATGTTCGCTCGATCCTCATATCCCATATGATTCTGAATTTTGAAAATTGATATCATATTTCAAAGTCAAACTATACTGAAGTCATGGAAGACTGAATTAAACTATATTACAGCTATTTCTTCCCACCGTTTTCTTTGCTCCTAGCTTTTGAGGTGTTTCTTTTTAATTAAACAAATTATAAAATTCATTTGAACCTTTAGTTTTTAATAAAACAATGTTGACTGACAATGATAGAACAAAGAAGCGGGTAAGTTTTTGCTCCTCGATAATCATAATTTGGATATATTTCATTTCCTTGTAAATCTTGGAAAATATGTTTTGTCGATCAAAATATTTCTTATCCATTCAACAGGTGGAAAGTTCTCAATGCATGCTCCAATAAGTGTATTGTGGGAAATGAAGTTTCAATTTCGTTTCCATTTAAAGTTGATCGTGTGGGCAGCTTATGCTTGTTGGTTTTGAATTATCACACAAAATTTCATTCAGCGGTCGCTGCGCTCGCTATTAAGAATGATTCTTTATTTCGTATTTCAGTTTATAATTACAATTCGACAAAACACAAAAGTCAATTTCAGTAAAACATCGGTAGTCATGTTAACAATAAGTCTCGCGTGTCGACCGGATATGACGTAATGCTAAGGATTGACGAACGTTGAGGGGAGGTGCCAGGGCCAAACCGGAGTTTGTTTCGGATACTCCAGGATCACCTGAAATAGAACGATAGCTATTTATGTAAGATTTATTTGTATTTAAAGATAAAAGGACTAACTGTTCCTCCGCTAAGGGATCTTTTCACTCGAATGGTCCACAAAATTTCTGGCCTGGCCCCGTTTCAAAATCGTCTAGGAAGTGCATCAGGAGGGGCAGGGAAGGGGGAGGGATATAACGAAGGACAACACAAGCAACATCCAAAAGTTGATGTTAGGTCAGGCAAAATAAGAGATTTCTTATGTGAATTGGTGGAGGGACAAAACTGGAAATAGTGATGGAAGAAGACATGATGTGATATATAAGGAGGAAGCGATAGACGTGACAAGCTTGGTAGTAGGGATAATGATGATTTTGCGTTATAAATGGCTAAGGAGGAGGGGCTTTCGAAGGACGGATTGGTTCCATTAAGTGTAATATTTTTCTTCATAAGATGATATAAGGAAAAGGTGTTTGGTTGCTGTAAGGGACATGACGTCAGTTGAGAAGCTTAGAGAAAAAGATGGCGTCTCTAGGCAACTAGTGTTTGGGAGGTACGTCATCTGTTAAACCGCCTGGAAAATGAGAATGCGTACATGTATTGAAAAAATAACAATATATGACGTGAGGAATTGTAGTGTTTGGAAAGGCCGAGATGAAGTTAGGGAGAATATATATATTGTAAATGTTATTTTTGAGGTTGTTAATTTCGAAATTTCAATATGGAACATGTGCGCGTTGGGGTTATTTTCGCTTTCAATGTACCTTCGCATATCTAATTTATAGAAACGAAGAGGGCTCATTATTAACAGATAAGTTTTGGAAAGGAGAGGAATCAGGAATTTGTAAAGGTCAAAGGTTACAGGTATGAAGGTGAAATACCTACCTGTCCTGATCAGAGACAGACTGAACAAGTAAAAAAAATCAGGTATAAAGGTGAAATACCTACCTGTCCTGATCAGAGACAGACTGAACAAGTAAAAAAATCAGGTATAAAGGTGAAATACCTACCTGTCCTGATCGGGGACAGAATGAGGGGACGGAAAACATGCCTGAGTCGACATATCCAGTGGTAGTATTCTCATAGATTCCAAACGACAGTACGTAATCTGTGAAGAGATGGATAAAGATTCTAGTTAGTGGTAGGACGACCTAATCAGAACAGTGTGATAAAGACTCAATCTAGTTAGTGGTAGGACGACCTGGTCAGAAAAGTGTGATAAAGACTCAATCTAGTTAGTGGTAGGACGACCTAATCAGAACAGTGTTATAAAGACTCAATCTAGTTAGTGGTAGGACGACCTGGTCAGAAGAGTGTGATAAAGACTCAGTCTAGTTAGTGGTAGGACGACCTAATCAAAACAGTGTGATAAAGACTCAATCTAGTTAGTGGTAGGACGACCTGATCAGAACAGTGTGATAAAGACTCAATTTAGTTAGTGGTAGGACGACCTGATCAGAAAAGTGTGATAAAGACTCAATCTAGTTAGTGGTAGGACGACCTGGTCAGAAGAGTGATAAAGACTCAATCTAGTTAGTGGTAGGACGACCTGGACAGAACGGTGTGATAAAGACTCAATTTAGTTAGTGATAGGACGACCTGGTCAGAAGAGTGAAAAAAAACTCAATCTAGTTAGTGGTAGGACGACCTGGACAGAACGGTGTGATAAAGACTCAATCTAGTTAGTGGTAGGACGACCTGGTCAGAAGAGTGATAAAGACTCAATCTAGTTAGTGGTAGGACGACCTGGACAGAACGGTGTGATAAAGACTCAATCTAGTTAGTGGTAGGACGACCTGGTCAGAACAGTGTGATAAATACTCAATCTAGTTAGTGGTAGGACGACCTGGTCAGAAGAGTGATAAAGACTCAATCTAGTTAGTGGTAGGACGACCTGGACAGAACAGTGTGATAAATACTCAATCTAGTTAGTGGTAGGACGACCTGGTCAGAAGAGTGTGATAAAGACTCAATCTAGTTAGTGGTAGGACGACCTAATCA